GTCAAGGTTGGACACCCCTGGTTTAAACCATCCATATTACTCTTCTTCCTTTTCAATAAGAATGTAGTTTATTAGCCTTAGTCCTGGAAATGACATAGGATAGTATGCTTGTTGTGGCTTTATCTCATTCTGACCAACAGACTGCGGTGAAAACTTAGTTCTCCATCATTTGCTGTTAGTCAGTCATACCTTTATGCCAACAGCCAGTCACCACAGTGAGCCCAGAACTCTGAAGAAAATTAATACTTTCTGGATAGGAAACACGCTATTGTTAAGTTAAATGATCTTCTCATGTTTAATCACATCTGGATTGTTTTGAATCTCACCAGCGTACGGTGTTGGTGACTTCAAAAACAAGGCCTTCCTTCCTGAAGATGTAAACGGCTGCAAAGGGTTAAGCAGTCATCTTTTCATAGTCTTCATTGTCATTGATGTGAATGTGACCTTTAAAAATTAGCAATAAATTCAGTTAGCTCAAGCTATTTTGCTTCCATTAGACATCTACCTCAATCCAGGTGTTGCTGCTGCTTGAAACAACACTAAATGGGAAGTGCTTGAACTTGAGGGAAGGAAGACTCCATTTTGCTGTCTTCTTTCATCCAAAATTTTATACCGGCCATGAAGAAAGAGATTCAGTCTTTTTCCATTGTCCGATTGGAAGAAAGGTAGTAGGTGGTATCTGCATTTGTGTGCATTCAGCAGGGAAAGGACCGGGTTAGCCATGAACTTCCTGTTCCAGGAAGTCTATATCAACTGTCAAATCCTGCCTAGATTGGCCCACAAGTTTTGCAAAGGCGACATCCATTCTCTGGACTCCTCAGGATGGCTGCACAATTAATGGGGTGCTGTTGGTGTAGCATGTATGAAATTTAATTCATTCAACTAAATACAACGTCCCAGGATAATGCTACAAGATCCAGTCTGGGTTGGTCACTAGGACCAAAGGTTTCATCTTCCAAATTTTTGGGTTGGAGCTCATCATCAGGGCACTTCTCTCTCTCTCCAGAATATGTGCACTGGGCTGTCCTACCCACTGTATTTATGTGGTTCCTGGTTAGGTGTGTGGCTTTTAATTATTAGGGCGTTGTCTCTAGTTGACTCTAGTTGACTCTAGTTGACTCTAGTTGACCCTTTTATATAATGTATACAATCCTGGAAGGCAACCTCTGGTGTCTGAAGATGTCCCTTACTGATCTTTTGAAGAGAACCTTTCCTTATTTTCAAGGAGAGTTTAGTTTCCATAATAGTCAGTTGAATCTATTGTCCCCATAGACGATGGTCTTGCTTTAGGTTCCACCTAAACGCATTGGGTTCTTTTGATTTTCCCTGCTAGGTGTTTTCAGTAAGAATCAGATGAAAAGGTACATTGACAATTTAAAAAAAGGAAAAATAGAAAGCTGATTAATAACTAATTTTAACAGTGCAGTGGCCTGAGAACACACGGTAGTGGATCAGCTCCTAACCAGTTGCACTGCTCTCCCCATAGCAATTAATTACCCACCCCTCAGGTTGGAAGTGGTGATGGACAACCTGGACCTATAAGGTCTAAAGCCTGTTGTAAGACTGCTTGAAGCCAGCGGTGGAGAGTCCATTGTCTTGGTGATATTGTTGGACTCAAAATTCATATCTGTCTCAGCTGCTCGAGTTCTTGATTGCTATTACGCTGTGTGGTTGAAAGATAAGCAACCTGTTGCCTCCCTAAAGATTATGAATTTTTGATTTAATGGCAAGGGTTAGTGGGAATAGTTCAGAATAAACAGAGCACCATGATTTGCTTATCTCCAGTTTAATATATTGGAGTTCTTTTGCCCGTTGACTAAAAGGAGGCAGTAATTAATTATGCACCCTATCGTGCACGGGATACAATTTGGATTTTATAGTCTTACTTTAAGTCTCAGAAGAAATTGTAAGGAGTTGCGGCCACTTCTGGGTACCACATGCAGTTACTGATTAATTTTGGAAGCCCATTGCAAGTGAATTGAGATCTAGCAGCCCGCTGAGCATAAGGGAAGTTGCAGGAAAAATAAAGTTTTGGGCACTTGCTCTACTGGCTTTGGCACTGCCAACCTTCAGGCCCCAAGGGATTCATTGCAAGACCTTGCAGTCCTGACAGCAGAGATGTTCCTCATCCATGAAACTTTGTGACACACCGTTGTTCATTTCGTGGTTTCCATTACTGCTGCTTGGCGTCTTATGTTCATACTTCTTAATGCTTCAAAGGCAGCAATAGAACCAGGGGTGAAAAAAAAAACGGATTGGTGTGGATATCTTGCCTTTTCTCTCTCTCTCTCTCTCTCTCCCCTCTTTGCAAACCTCATTTCACGCCAGTGTCCACCTGATGAAATGTCGGAATCTGGACAGTCCTCTGCAGCCGCCACGCCCAGCACCACAGGAACAAAATCGAATACCCCCACATCCTCGGTGCCCTCGGCTGCTGTGACGCCCCTAAATGAGAGCCTTCAGTCGATGAATGACTACGTCACCTCCAAAAACAACAAACGGTCACGGGAGAAACGGAACAGCAGAAATATGGAAGTTCAAGTGGTCCAGGAGACAAGGAACGTGAGCATAGGTAGAGTTAGTGTGTCTGCTTAACTCGCTTCCTGAACTTCTTAGTTTCTCATCATCTACCTGGCTAGTTTTGTGGTCCTGGAATTAATCTCTTGCTAAAAAAGAGGATCGCCAACGTCCGATGATGGATGTGACACAAGAAGAAGAAGAAATTAATTGGAACTATCTCAAAATATTTGAGATAATGATTTCGTCAGTGTAGTCTAGTCGAGGCAGGTAGTCCTTGACTTACGACCACAATGGAGACCAACTTTTCTCTGCTAAGCAAGGCAGTTGTTAGTTGAGTTGTGCTCCATTTTGCAACCTTTTTAGCCATGATTCTTAAGCAAATCACTACAGTTGTTAAATGGATCACGTCATTAAGCATTAATCTGGCTTTCCCCCATTGACCTTGTTAAGGTAGTGAATGGCAATCACATTACAGACACTGTAACTGTCATAAATACACAGCAGTTGCCAAGGGCCCAAATGTTGATCACGTGACTGTGAGAAACACAGAGACCATTGTAAGTGTGAGGAGCGGTCGTAAGTCACTTTCTTCAGTACTGTTGTAACGTTGAACGGTCACTAAAGGAATGTTGCAACTCGAGGACTACTGTATGTGAGACAGACAAGGTAGGCATGCATTCTGGATTGCGGCTGTGTGATATTTCTGATGCCCTAAAACACAGGTTGTGTTACTCGGTGTCTATGGAGATTCTCCATAGTCATTCAGGTCATTGGTTGGTCCCAAAGGTGCTTTTTCCAAGAAGCAACTGGACTTTCTGGTTTTTCTTTGAAGACGTTTTGCTTCTCATTCAAGAAGCTTCTTCAACTCTGTCTTGTAGCAGTCATTGAAAAGTCCTGTCTCAGGAATCGACATACTAAATAGTCTGGGACGCCTGGTATGCATGGCTTAAGAATAAAAAGAAATTAAAGTTGCAATTAGGGAAAGAATAGGAAATTATGTATAGAAATGTATATATCTACTGTGAAGAAAATAGAAATATATGATGAAAATATATAAATCTGTAACAAGAATAAGGGAAAGAATATGCAATGGTAATGCAATGTAACAAGAAAGAAAGAATGTTTTGAAAGATGATAAGGAAATGAAAATGATTTCTTTGACGTAGGCACAATGATGTATGTAATTTTATTTTATGTTTTTAAAAACTTTTGAAAATTGAATAAACTCTCCAGTCTAAATGTGTATGGAGGTTCTCAGTCCTCCAGGTCATGATTGTCCCAAAGGAGCTTTTTTTTTTTTTCAAGAGGCAACTGGACTCCCTTGTTTTTCTTTGAAGACGTTTCCCTTCTTATCCAAGAAGCTTCTTCCGCTCTGATTTTCATGGAGAAGTCGGAGCTGAGCTTTCTGCAGGATGTTTTCTAAAGAAGCTTCTTGGGGGAGAAGCAAAATGTCTTCAAAGAAAAACCAGAAAGTCCAGTTGTTTCTCGAAAAAGCACGTTGGGGACATGTGCTACTCCGTGTTTTTCAAGAGAAGGAGAAGGGCAATGATGCATGTTTAGTCCAAATGCTTTGTTGGCTCACCAGCATACATGGTTCCCCCCTGCCTTTGTTACAGGAATGGGAAGCAGTGACGAGGGGTCGGATTTTCAAGATATTGACTCTACTCCAGAGTTGGACATGTGCCAGGATCCTAGACTGGAGCGCTCAGGGAACAGGTTGGAATACTTTGGAGGGGCAAATTTAATCATTTAAAGCAGGGGTCCCCGTGGAACAAGTCCTACCGGGCCGCTGGTTTGCTGGGCGCCGCCATCTTGTTTTGATGAAAAAGTGCTTCCGGTGAGCTTTTCCGGGTAGATGATGCCGGTACCGGGCCGCGCCATAAAAAAGGTTGGGGATACTGGGCCGCGGCATAAAAAAGGTTGGGGATCACTGATTTAAAGGGTTCCAATAGTGGGAAATCATTGAAACAGACCCCATAGTTTATGAAGCTGGCCTATTTCTTCTCATTGTCAACTCCTTGTAGGGTAGCTGTCCTGCTAAACCCGTGTTTCCCAACCTTGGCTACTTTAAACGTGTGGACTTCAACTCCCAGAATTCCTCTGGCTGGAGAATCCTGGGAATTGAAGTTCATACAACTTAAAGTTACCAAGATTGAGAAACACTGTGTAAGGCATCCAGAAAGTATCCATGACATCAATCACTCCGAGACATATTCTCTCCAATTGATTTATTTAGGAACAGATCTGGCATGTCTAAGGCAATTTCCCAAAGTGAAAGTATTTTCGTGGTTACACAGAATCCACCTTCTCTCCTCCCACTTCTACGCTTCATAAATCACGAGAACCAATTAACTGCAACTGGAACTTCTTAGTACGACATACAGAATAACCTTGAACTTTTCAACTCCTCCACCCACCCCCCTTCTTTTAATTGTGGCAGCTGAATTTCAAAGCTGACACACTGTGCTAAACAGTCTGTGATGACCCAGAGTATCTCAGAAATATAACAAAAACCAAAACATAAATAAAAGTCATTTAACTTGGCTTCAACTTGGCTTCACTATTTCATTGTTCACAGTGGAGGAGAAGTAAACTATTTTCAAAATAACATTTCAAAGGAAAGAAACACAGTTCAAATTCAAAGAGCCGATAACGAAGCAAAAACCAAAAACAAACCACTCTGAATAAAGTTCCACGACAGACCAGGATAGATAATTGCCAACTTCAGGAAGATAACCAGGGACAGTCCATTGGAAGAACGCCAACCAAGATAAACCTTCTTTAGGAATAAAACACTCATTTGTCTCCAGCGTCTGTTAGCACGCAGGTCCAAACTCTTATGCAGATCTCACACCTGCAACCCATGAAGAGGATCATGGCCCTCTCCTCCCGAGTAGACCACGTTTTACCCTGATCCTCTCCTCCCTCCGTGCCCTAGGATGGATAAGGGGTCCTCCTCTGATTGCTCAGAGTCAGTCTTCACCAGGGGCATGACACAGTCATTTACAAATTTCTGGTCTCTTTCATGCGCAGAACATACTTTTCCTGGTTGGCATAAGGGTAAAAAAAAATGTATTTTGGGTGGAAAAGCTGCCTTCTGTGATTAAGAGAGGAAAACGAAACTATTTCTTGCTGCAATGTATTTCTAATTCTTCTTTTTATGTAAATAGCCCAACACAAGGGATAGTGAATAAAGCCTTCGGCATCAATACTGATTCCCTGTATACTGAGCTTACTGAAGTCGGCTCAGAGGCCATTGGAGACGTGGATGAAGGAGCAGATCTGCTAGGTAAAGATCGTTTCAAAAGCATGGCTTTTAAAATCCTTACCTTGATTATCCTCACCACAATACTTCGAAGTAGGCTTTTGACACAAATTTCTAAAATGTCAGTAGATGTTTAACTTGGATAATTTAAATATCTGGAGAAAAGGAAAAGGTGAGACCGATCAGTGGCATTTGAATTCAAGTTCTAAGATTTATCTAATGTATGCCAGAGTGTATAGGTATGAAAAAGGCAATTATTTGCTAATCAGGGTTATCCATTCTGCCAAATTCTGCGGTATTTATAAATGCAGTCTTTTAAAACATGTATGAATATTTTTTTTGTTCTGCATTTTCTAATTAATTTGCTTAATTTATTCCATTCGTTTTGAGATTGGGAAGGAGTTTTGTGGCGTAATGATGCCTTGTTATTCTCAGGCTACTAAGAAGGCTACAATTCTCTTTACCTTTGAGGCAGTTATTTTTCTTAACCATAGGACTTATATCTTTAAAAGATGTCATTGTTTTCTTTAAAAAAGCTGAATTCTTTGATCAGAATCATATTCTTATCTCACTTTTTCTCCACCTGTTCTGCAAGGAACAGGAATCTATCCATGTTAGAGGGCCAGATTTGTAGCAGAGATTTTAAAAAAGCATTTAATAAAGTAAATAAACTATAGAGAGGTAGCTAACCCATGAGCTTAAAACAAAGCAAATAGTTTGTACAGTCACAGGCTCACTTAGCAGCCATTTCATTTTAAGAATCAAGTTTAAATGGGTTCCAATTTTGGTTGTTAAATGAAGATATCTGTAGTATGTTGGGTGTACCCAGCCATTATGGTTTGTGAGCTATGCTTTATGGATTAATCCCAGCCAATTAGGATTTATTTAAGAAACTATGATTAAACAATCCTTAGCTTACCGGTTGTTGCCTTTAGATCTTTATTTGACTTATATGGTCAGCTATATGATGATTCTAGTCTGCTCACAACCTTCTGTAAAACAAAGATTTGCCAGACCAAAGAGCCTCCCAGCTCAGTCTCCTCAACCTAGCCCAATTCTTGGGGGAAAAGCTGGGTCTTCACAACACCTCACTCACAGCTTCTTTGCTCAGTTCCTGGTTGGTTCCTGCCAATCTTTAATTGTTGGGCTCACTTGGCATCTTACAGGATAGTTAGAAGGATGTTTGAGGCCTAAAGGAAACCAAGAACAAACTGGAAAACTGCCAACAAACCATACTCTCCATTTGCATGTCACACTAAGCTGCAGTTGCAAACCATAAGCAAGCTATGGTTACGGACTGCTTGCCTTCAAACAAACCATAACTTATTCCATTCTCCTTTCCACGTTCACACAACCATAGAAAGGTAGAGACAAATAAAATACGTCAGACCATAACGTGACACCCGAGAATCCAACCCATTCAAGAACACACACAAATATCCTATTGTGGGACAAGATGATATTCTTTGCAGACATCTAAGGTATGCTTGAGGTTTTGTTTGGAGCTGGTGGGACACTCCCTGAGCGTCTTAGTGAGATTTGGGTTTCAAAATGTCATATTTTTCTTTCATCCCTCACTGTCTCGAAGCAGAACAATGCAAAGAAAGCAAGAGAAAATTCTTCCTTCATGAAAACCAGATACCACTGTGAGGAAAAAACTAGGTTAAATGAGGGGCTCGCAAGGGCCTCAGGCACATTTTCATCAGAAACATCGTCCATTCCTCTCTCATGCCCCTCATGCTTTTCCTCATGTAAATTCATGCTGCTTATGGTCACGGTGGAACTTTTCTTTATGGTTTCATGCCTTTTGATATGGAAAATGGCAAAATCATTGTCTTGGGGTTTGGGGGAGGGGGGGGAGGGAGTTGTTTAAAAAGAAAATCCAAGAATTATTTTTTGTTGTTGTTGGTTTTAGACATTGATTGACTTTTTTTCCCTCCCCACCCTACTCCATTCCTTCCTCTCTGTGCTTCGTGGGACATGGCCCATAGGGGAATTTTCAGGTGTGTATTTCTCCTCTCCTTAGATTCCTGGTTTATTTTCTCCTTTTCCTTTTCTTCCCCCCCCCCTAGAATTTTTAAACAAATGAAGAGGATATTCACATGTAATAAATCCTGTCAAAATTCATTTTGTTAACTTGGTTCTACCTTTCCCTACTTTTATTAGTTTGGACAGTAGATGTTGGGAACCTGCCAGTGAGGCTGGAATGAGGGGTCAAACAAGGACCTAGCTTGGAATCCTTGTGCAGCCACATGCAGCATAAGCTTGACCTCCCCCAAAGATCCATTAAGCCTTATCTGGTCATTCCCAGGGAAAGGCAAGCAGTCTGAAGAGATTCTTGTAACATATGTGACAAACAATAAAAGTACTGACTGGGTATTTATGAGAGGCTGTTTTTGCTTGCTCCTGAGGAGTGGTGTGGTGGCCTAGAAGTGGAGCTCTCGCCTCACAATCAGGAGGCTGTGAGTTCAATCCTAGATAGAGACAGATATTTCTCTCTCTGGGCACTATGAGAATATATCTACTGAACAAAACTCTGCCTTGGCAACAGGAAGGGCATCCGGCCATTCAAACACTCTGCTAGCTCCATTCAATTGCTCAGTCTCCACTCCGCAGGGGATTATGGGGTTGTTAAAAGAAGATGATGATAGTTGCTTGCTCCTGACGGTTAGGTGTCTGAATACAAGAGACCACTTTCTGTTCTTGGCTTCTATTTCCTTTCTGCAGTCTCCATCCTCTCTGTCTACTTGATCCCATCTACTTTGGGATTTAAGGTGGGAAATCCTAATATATGGGATGAAGATTGTACTTTCTTTATTAATTAAGGCATATCAGGACTCAAAGCCTGAAATTTAATATCCACCTCTTAGGTGATTTTAAAAAAAATATTTGGGAGAATGGTGCTTAAGTCACCAGTTTCTAAAGTATAGCCCTGTGATGTAGTTGGGTTACAGGTTGCATCATCCCCAATCAGGTTAGTCTGCAGTCAAGGATAATGAGAATTATAGTCCTGTAATATTTAGGGGTTGCCAGAATGAAATTAAGTGTTAACTGGATGGATCTGGCGCTACTTCTGACAAACTAACAATAAGTGGGGGGGAAACTACCGAACAAGTGAATTGGTTTGTGATGTTCTCCTTTTTTCCAATTGTAATAATCCTGGGACTTTTAGAGGAGAATGCTCTAGAGCAAGGGTCTTCAAACTTGGCAAATTTAAGATTTGTGGATTTCAACTCCCAGAATTCCTGAGCTAACATGACTGGAGGAGGAATTCTGGGAGTTGAAGTCCAGAAGTCTTAAAGCTGTCAAGTTTGAAGACCCTTGCTCTAGAGCAGGGGTCTCCAACCTCGGTGACTTTAAGACTTGTGGACTTCAACTCCCAGAATTCCTCAGCCAGCAAAAACTAGGTACCACTTTAAAGCAAAGCTGGTTGAGGAATTCTGGGAGTTGAAGTCCACAAGTCTTAAAGTCACCGAGGTTGGAGACCCCTGCTCTAGAGCAAGGGTCTTCAAACTTGACAGCTTTAAGACTTCTGGACTTCCAACTCCCAGAATTTCTCCTCCAGTCATGTTAGCTCAGGAATTCTGGGAGTTGAAATCCACAAATCTTAAATTTGCCAAGTTTGAAGACACTTGCTTTAGACAAATAGCTACTCATCTTGATGGTTGTACATTCCTTTTGGAATCAAAAGCCATGTGCTTTTGGAAAACCAGTTCCTGGGGAGGCAACAGTAGAAAAAGGAGATTGCCATCATACACTTTGTATGTAATTTGTGTGTAATTGACTGCCCATAATGTGGGGCTGCATTGGCCCTTGACAAGGTTGTACTATTGCTGAGCAAAATTACCCTTGGATATGGAACTCTGTTGCCCTTAGCAGCACCATCTCTACTAGTATTCTCAACCTTGGCAACTTGAAGATGTATGGACTTCAATTCCCAGAATTCCATAGCTATCAGGTCACCTGGGGAAATGTGGGAATTGAAGTCCACTCATTTTCTGCCAAGTTTCAGAAACACTGATCTAGAGGAATGGCCCAGAGGAAGCCAAAATCCTTTAGTTGTTCATCCCACTAGTTAAGTTTATATGACAAAAGGATATAGATTTGGTTGTTTCTCAATCTAACTCCAGCAGCTTTTGATAAAAGTTGACTTACCGTATTGTAAAGCAAAGCTTGTTTTAAGAATATTTTGTTCCTCTGCCATTAATATCCCCTCCACTTTACTTAAATGATTAAGCCATCCTTATCCGGCATATCTTAAAAGCAACAGCAGATACTTGTGACAAGATTTGGCAAACCAGTGTTTCAGATTTTTAAGACCCAGAGGCCTACAGAATCCAACAAAATCATCATCCAGTCAAGTGCCGTATTTAGCAGAACGCACGTTTAGATTAATCCAGTGGGATCGTTAAAGTTCTCGTTTCATTTATTTTCTTATTCTAAAATAGCGGTAAGAAGCAGCACCAAGAAACCCAGTGTTTTCTTTGTATCTCTGAAATTTGGAAAGTTCTTGTCAGGCTGGGCTACCTGCAGCTCTCGAGTTATTTAGCCTCAGTCAAGACCAGGTTCTGCGGTTCTAATGGGCCAAAACTCATAAGGAGAAGAGAATAAGGTAACGGCGGAAAAGAAAGTGAATTCAAAATGGATAGATGAGAGGAGAATGGTAGAGAGAGAAAACAAACACAAAAGAAAGGGGTATGGCAGAGAGAGAAAGAAGCTGTGCTTTCACTTAGTGTTCTTCGAGCTCTTGGAAACGTCATCCCCACCCCACCCCCAAATGCAACCTTTTGTAGAAAAAGGTTTACCAGCTCTCTTTGTTGCTTCCAGTTTACACCCCTCTGCTTCTCCAAAGAAAGTAAAATTACTAGCATCTACTGTCTCCAAAGAGAGTAAAAATGCTAGGACTTTCCTCGTGCTTTTCTCCTCCTCCAAGAGAAGATGAGGTCTTCCTTAGAGTTTGGGTGTTTTACTCCTGCAGAAGTGGGCCTGCAACCTCGGGGTTGAATCCAAGATATTTTATGCCCTTTAATCCTATTTCATTGCTTTTGAGAATGACCGAATAAGTCATGAAGATCTTTCATTTGGTTGCAGCCTATGAAGAGGCACAGCTTGATTTTGATGGTTCCTTCCCCCAAACGTTTCTTTTTATTTGTTAACTTGTGTATCTTGCCTAGGAAAGGCACAGAAATCTTGTTCAATAGAAGGAAAGATTCTTGCTGTTATAACATTAAAAGCAGAGCAACAGCATTCTTCATCTGCTATGTTCCAGTTCTGAGAGGTGGACTTAAGGATACCATGAGACAGATCCCCAAATTCCTTTGTTTCTTGGATGCAAGGAGCTGTTCCCCAAACCTCCCTCTCATTCTCTCAAGAGGAAAGAACATTTGGATCTAACCCACAAAAACAAGGCATATGATTTTGGTTTGGGTTTCTTTAGAATTCTTTAGACAACATTTTAGAAGAGAATATTTGTAGCTCAAGGTGGAACTAGGGGTCCTTGGTGACTTCCAAGCTTAGTTTTTTTTTTCTTACAGATGTTTCGTTACACCGTTCCACGGTGCCCATGAAAAAGAAACTGGGCTGATGGACTACAGCAAAAGTTTTCCAGGATGGAGGGAGTATATTCCAGAAAGGGGGGTGAGATAGGAGCTAGAGGAAGAGAATTAGAATAGCTATGCTCTAGATCAGTGGTGGCTAACCTTTTTGGGCTCCTGTGCCAAAAATTGTCCGTGCGCTTGCGCACATGCGCTTGCATGCCAGCACCCAGAAGGCAAATGCGTCCCCCCAATGAGGAAAGCCTCTGCAGCCTTTGCAGGCCGAAAAATAGGCCCGTTTGGTCACTTCTGGAATTTCCGGAAAGACAGGAAGTGATGAAACGGGCCTATTTTTCAGCCTGCAAAGGCTGCAGAGGCTTTCCTCAAGCCTCTGGGAGGCCGAAAAAGGCCTCAAACGGGCTGAAAATCAGCTGGGGAGGTGCACGCATGTGCAGTGAGGTAAGTTTGCCTGAGGCTCACGTGCCGGCACAAATGGCTGTGCATGCCACCTGTAGCACACGTGCCATAAGTTTGCCATCATGGCTCTAGACTCCCCTATGGCATATCCATTGCGCGAGGAGGAGCAGGAAGGGTTTAGTTTGGCAAGATTCTGTCTGCTGTGTGTAAGCAAATAAAGAACTAGACTCTGGCTGAATTGTTCTACATTGTTCTTGGCCTTGGCCTGACACCCAACTTAGTAACATCTTAAGCTTAATTAGGCCACCCAGTGAGGTAAACTCATTCATTAACACTGAAGATGTTACTAGTAGGATAGTGAAACATCTGCAAGAAAACAAGCAAGCTCAGAGAGCACCAAGGACTCTACAGACAACACTTTATTTACCAAAGGAGGAGAAGGTTTTGGGGCAGATGTTCTTTTGTAATCAGAAGGGAGGGAATTCCTTCAAGCCTTCGACCCAGAAGTTATATTCCTCTGGAATGTCTCTAGGCTGTATTTGCTACTATCACATCTGACAAGCTGAAAGGTGGCTGTTACTCAGGTGGGGAGAAGAGTGATGGCCTCAGGAGTTGTCCCTTGATCGGTTTCACTCAAGAACCAGGTCCTTCCGCTAAGCTGGATCAGACCGGTGAAGAATTGCCTTGCTGTCATGTAAATGATTTTTTTTTTCCATACACATACGTGCTAAAATGGTATCGCCATTTGCTGAGTTGTATTTAATGGCTGCTTTTTCTCTCTCTCCCTGCCCTCCCCTTCCCCCCCCTTTTTTTTCCTCTCCTGTATCTCTTCCCCTCTGGATCCTTTGCTCCTTCCCTCTTCTCTCATACGCAATGACTTTCATAGTGCGGGATGATTTCTTTGGTAAGGCGAAAGCCAGTTTTAAAACCTTATGGGTGTTCCCCTTCCCTTTCACTTGGCATCTCTTCATCCTTTTTTTTTGTCTCCTTTCTGGGATCCCTTGGGACTTGGTTTATGTTTTCGTATCGATCCCTGTGATGGTAATGAAGTTGCTTTCTTTTTTCTTTTTGAGAAGCAGATCTTCTTCAGTTGCCATCATCTAGGAGGTATTATTGTCCTGTCCTCTTCTCTTGGGACTTAGGTGGTTATCCGCTTTGATGTTTCAAGCAGCTTCCAAGAGGGGGCCATACCGTGGGTCCTCCCCCCTCCCATTTCTTTCTTTTGGAAACTCTGCTCCTGGGGCAAAAGCTGATGGGAAGTTCTGTCTAAGCAGTCCACTTCCTTGTGATTGACATATTGTGCTGATGCTTTGGGCAGTTTTTTTTTTTCTGACTCGTGCTCCAAACGTTTCTTTTCAAAACCACACAATTCAGAAAATAAAGTGGAGGGGAAAAAAGGCTTTTCCTGAATTGCTAATTTTCTGCATGTTCTATCATAGCTTCTTTCCACCACCAGTTTGAAACAGCATCAGGTCATCTTCATTGCAGATCTTTCTTTTCTTTTTTGAAAAAAGAAGTAGAATATTAAAATATAGGCAAGTTATTCAGAGGGATCTACTCAAAGATGACCAGATGATTCTTGGTGAGATTTCCGACTCCTATTTGTTTAGCGATATTGTTGATTAAAAACTCGCCTTTCTATTCTAAATTAGAGAAGGCCATATCTAAAGAAACTTGCATTCAGAGTCTGCAATAATACCAGGATTGGATGGCATGGACCAAGTCCCCCATTCTTGCAATGAAAGCTCCATTGCTCACCTTTTCTCTCTGAATGTTCAAGGAGTGCTAGAATGAAGAATAGATGCATCATTCTTGGATTCTTCCATTAACCAGATTTGGACTCAGAAAGAAAAGGCAAGACAAGGAGCATTTCCTTGTTAATGTCCCCAAGGATTTAGTTCTTGGTTGTGCCCTACGATACAGCGTGCAGATCAAATGCTGCCTGAAACATCAAAAGGGACTAATCTCTTCACGTCCTCTCAACACAACTGCAGCTGCTTTTCCATTCTCCCTGGGGAGTGGCCATTCCTCTGCCATCTCTAACTCATCTCCATTTGATTGTGGGAAGAAGGTCTGTGTACTGCCCCGGTGTGTTGTGATGTGTCCTCACTTCTTATGTATGCTCCCATGATTCTCTTGTTAACTTTTCATTTGTCCTGAGTGTGCATTTGTCCCATGAAAGCAACCTAAACAGATCCCACATTTAAAAAACAAACAAACCCAGTTTATTTTTCCCTATGCAGTGTGAAGTAAAAGAGAGTTTGGATGCTGGCAGAGGTTGGCTATGTGTTGATCTCTAGAAGACCTCTTCTTTTAACATCTGGAATCGGGACAAAATGATTCATAGTAGTAGTATACCACTTCCATTTGGTGATAGAAGAAATCTGTTTCTTCTCTGTTGAATTCTTGGTGCTTTGAAGCGAAATCTGCCCTATAAAGAATGAACTTCAATGCAATTTAATTGGCTGCAAGGATAGGACCATCCACAGGAACCTTTTCTTTGTATAACTTTATTTTAAAGCTTAGGTGGTTTCAAGGCCACCAAACGGTTTGAGGTCCATCTAAATCAGAGGTAGCATCTCAGTTTATTCTATCACTTGGGAGAGAAAAGTGGTTATTTGTGAAAAACCCTTAAAGTGGGGGTCCCCAACTTGGCAACTTTAAGATTTGTGGACTTCAACTCTCAGAATTCTCCAGCCTGCCAGCTGTAAGCTGGCTGGAGAATTCTGGGAGTTGAAGTCCACAAATCTTAAAGTTGCCAAGTTTGGGGAGTTCTACCTTAAAGATTCTCAAAAACTGAAGACTGCCATGTTTGGAATGCACCCATGGAATTCCTTCTGTCAGTACTGTATATGCCTCTAGATTTCTAGAAAAAGAGATTGAATATAATGAGAATATAGATCTTTCGATGCCCTTGATAAATTGGGCAGTTGTACTCTGGTTGAATGAATGTTTTATGTAAATGAAGTATCAGATTAAAACTGAGCCAGATGAAAGATAGGTTATAATAGGGGGACCAATTTAGCAACTACATGTTGAAGTAGAAATATGAGGTCTCCTTCAGGTTGAGTATAGGTTTGGTGGACTTCATGGCCACCTTCATGTACATTTCTTGAAAAGTATGGAAATGAACTATCAGGAACTTTTCTTGCTTTCTCAGTCTAGCCTACCTCCCAGAATTTCCTTCTGTGTGTTTCTGATCCAAAGGCAAACCGGGACCAGTCTTCCTTAGTATTTTTTTAAATTCTGCCAAGGTGGGCAAGGCGACCTGTGCAGAAGGCAAATTAAGGTTCCCTTGATGTAAGCCCTTGATAACTTCAAAGACAAATTGCTACTTGCTGCTACCAACAGTATGAAGAAGGTGATTTGCCACTGTCTTTTTTCTGGCGAGCTTTTTTGAACTTCCCAGCCTAGCTCATAGTCCGTGATTCCTTAGTGATTTTCTGTCCAAATAATGACCAAGCCAAGATACTTGGCTTCCCATCCAATGATCATCAAAGGGGTTGCCATCGGCTGTTAAGCTCCAAAGAAGAAGATGTTTATTATAATTGTTCCTTGTTTGTATCAACTTCCCTTGAAGAGTAGCTGATATAGTCATTTTCTCCTTTTTTTAAAAAAACAAATTGCACCAATTCTGTTTAAAACTTAGATTGTGAATGACGCTCAGTTTACTTCTGGGCTAAGCAAGAAAACGAACCTAGAGTTGCTGAATTTAGTCTGTTGACCTCTGCCCTGTTCTGCCTTTGTTTCATCCAGAGCGAAAGCAAGCCTGTGTCGTGTGATCGGGGTCCTTAGCTAGACTTTTTTTTTAAAAAAATGACAGCTATTTAAAGATTAGGCAGCAAATCTGCGATCCAGCAGATTTCAAGCCCGCCAAATAATCTTCCACCTTAATTTCTGAAGGAAGTTTTTGGATGAATGGAACGTATCTTCTTATGCCATTCCTTCCATTCTTTGTAACTAATGAGAAACTTTTGAACAAGAAAATTATATCTCTTCAAAACGAAGAGAGGTTTTTTTTGTTTTTTTTTTGCCAAAATGTATGTGTCAAAATTTGTATATGGCTTTTATTTATTTTTTTCCACCTCCCCCCAGGAATGGGCAAAGAAGTGGGGAATCTCTTGATGGAGAATACGCAGCTGCTAGAAACCAAGTAAGACTCCTCCCTTTCTCCAGATAAACGTCTCCTGCTTCCTTGTGAGTTTAGCCTGAGTTCCTAGTTGATGAGGTGCTGCGTGTGTTGGTTTCGTTCAGTTTATCTTGTGCTTGATTTCTTCATTCTGCTGGGAACTTTGCCCACTGGGGTTTTGCAGCATTTTTTCACCCAACCTAACCAATCAATTTGCAAAGGCGGAGATGGGGAACATTTTCAGCCCATACCACCCCCTTTGGGGCCCCAGATATTGGTGGACTCCAACACCCATAACCATGTTGGGGAGGATCGTAGCTGACAATTTAGGAAAAATTGGAACCTGTTTGTTTCCGTTGCATTGATAACTTGGCAAAAGGGAATCCAACTAACTAAAATGCAGGATTTAGATTAAATATCTTATGCTTTATCTATGACTCTCCACGATATCCCATTGTTTCCTTATGTTACCGATCGATATTTCTTCCAAAAGTGTCTCCTATGATGCTAGCTGTATCCCATGAGGCTGAATATATTTCTCTTTCTTTCGATGACTTGCCGTGCTCCAGAAATGCTTTGAATATTGTGAAGAATGACTTAATTGCAAAAGTGGACCAGCTTACAGGAGAACAGGAGGTGTTGAAAGGAGAGCTGGAAGCAGTGAAGCAGGCGAAATCCAAAATGGAAGCCCGTGTCAAGGAACTAGAGGAAGAGCTTAAAAAGTGAGTGGCCACCTGCTTTTGGGATTCATTTCTCAGGTGGGATTATGTCTCTAGGGTTGAAATAGATCAGGGGTGTCAAACTTGATTTCATTAAGGGCTGCATCAGGGTTGTGTTTGGCTTTGGGGAGGCTTGGGGGGGCATGGTCTGACCTGATTTATATCTTCCAGTTGCTCTCTTTTTCATATCAAAGGCAGCAGCTATTTATTTCTTTAGAAAATTTATAGGGCCTCATGGTGACTCTGGGTGGCTTACAGAAATAAAATCCAAATGCAAAACCCAATTAACCTTCCATCAAACCAGTCCCTTGATGGGCTCCATACCACTCTGGGGTCCCCAGGCCCATTGACAAAACCATCTCCAAAGCCATGCAAAAGAGTGTCAAGGTGAAGGCCAATCTTAGCTCCACAGGGATGATGTTCCACAAGGAAGGAGCCATTACAGAGCAGGCCCTTCTTGACTTCGCCAGATGGAGCTCCTTAGGAGAGAGAACCTGTAACAGATAACAGATAATCAGAGTTGGAAGGTACCTTGTAGGTCATCTAGTCCAACCCCCCGCCCAAGCAGGAGACCCTACATCATTTCTGACAAAATGGCAGTCCAATCTCTTCTTGAAAGTCTCAAGTGATGGTGCTCCCACAACTTCCAAGGGCAACTTCTGTTCCATTGGTTAATTGTTCTCACTGTCAGAAAGTTTTTCTTTATTTCCAGGTTGAATCTCTCTTCCATCCATTATTCCTTGTCTGGCCTACAGGTGCTTTAGAAAATAGCTTGACCCCTTCCTTTCTGTGGCAGCCCCTCAGATACTGGAAGACCACTATCATGTCTCCCCTGGTCCTTCTCTTTACTAGACTAGCCAAGCCCAGTTCCTGTAACCGTTCTTCATATGTTTTAGCCTCCAGTCCCCTAATCATCCTGGTTGCTCTTCTCTGTACTCTTTCTAGAGTCTCAACATCTTTTTTGTAATGTGGTGACCAAAACTGGATGCAGTACTCTAGGTGTGGCCTTACTAAGGCTTTATAGAGTGGTATTAGTACCTCCCTTGATCTTGATTGTATCCCTCTGTTAATACAACAGAGATACAACATCCAATGCTTCCCTGCTCTGGTGGGTCAGGTAGATGTAACTAGGAAAAGACAAATAATCTTCAAATAATCTGGCCCCAGGCCATGCAGCCACTATAATGGCTAGTTTATCTGTTAGAAAGCATGTGGATTAAATTTAGTTTCCTAAGAGTCACTTCCTGGCTTCCGACTATTCTCAAGATAATGCAAAGATGTCTTCTAGCTTTTCTTAGATTTGGGGGACAGGAAAGAAACCAACCTATCTGATTATTGGCAATTCAAGGTGTTTTTTTTCTGCTCTGCTTTTTGGTAACCTCTGGGCTTGTTTCAAAAATTTCATTCTTCTTTTCCTCCAGAGTGAAATCGGAGGTGATAGTTGCCCGCCGAGAACCCAAAGAAGAGTTGGAGGATGTAAGCAGCTATCTCTGTACAGAATTGGTATATTACATTATTAAAACGCTTAGGGAAAGAGGGGATTTGGGGAGGGGAGGGCTCTTTCTTTTCCATTTCCTTGAATAACGACCCTGAGATTATGACATCACTGTGCACCGACATCACAGCATTGCCATATCCGTGTTCACTGTGGTGGAGAGCATTCTCATGATTATGGGAATAGGTAACTTGTCAACCAGTCATTCCTGAATGAACATTCACTGTAAAAGTTGAGTGTATTGAAAAGATCAGGAAGACTCATCCTAGAAAAGCCGAATAGTAGTTACAGGAGGGCCCTTTAAGAGTTAATCCTCCCCCTGCTATCTTTTTCTGGTCTTATACTGTCTCGTGAACACAAGTCAGTGGCTTTTTTTAAAAAAAAACCACACGTATGAAATAGTTGTAGACTGCATGCATCATCTTGTTTGCCTTTTGAAACCCAAGGTAAAATAATGTAATCGTCCAATTCACACAACCTGTGAATGCTCTAAGAAGGCTGGTTTTAATTTTGTGTACTAACAGCATATTTCTTCAGTCTCCTGTCTGACATGGTTGCTTTTTACTCATATGCATGCACATTTCTGCCTTGTAGTTAAACTTTTGCTGCTTCTCTAGATAAATGTTAGCTTTCTCTGAATGGGTTTGGAGCTAAATTTTCAGAATAACAATCCATTCCTGGGAGGGAGGGTGAACAGAAAACCCAAAGGGAACTAATGTTATTAACTTCCTTCTTTGGTGTTGTACTAATCTCCTTCCCCTTCCATTTCCCGTGGGTTGAAGTCCTCCTCCTCCCCCCTGCAGGACAACATCCCTATTGCGCAGAGGCGGCGCTTCACCCGTGTGGAGATGGCTCGCGTTCTGATGGAGCGCAACCAGTACAAGGAAAGGTTGATGGAGCTGCAGGAGGCTGTCAGGTGGACAGAGATGATCAGGTGAGGATGAGCCTCTCTGGTTGCAGTATTAGAGGTGGGTGGGTTGTGTTTTTTTTTGTTTTTGTTTTTACTGTTAATGGCAGTATTGCAGGCTAACTCTGCCCATTGCCAGGAGTTCGATCCTGACCGGCTCAAGGTTGACTCAGCCTTCCATCTTTCCAACATGGGTAAAATGAGGACTCAGATTGTTGGGGACAATATGCTGACTCTATAAAACCGTTTAGAGAGAGCTGTAAAGCACTGTGAAGTGGTATATAAGTCTTAAGTGCTCTTGCTCTTTGTTTTCCCCTTCCTTCCTTCCTTCCTTCCTTCCTTCCTTCCTTCCTTCCTTCCT